CAAACAGGGATGTAGGAATCAGAGAGGGGCAGGGACTTGCCCGAGGGCACACAGAGAATTACAGCATTGCAGGGATTTGAACACAAGCCCACAATCCCCAGCCTGGGGTTGTGCCACGTGGCAGCTGGGGCTTGGCTTGAGCTCTTACTCTCCCAGTGGGATCTGCTCCTCTGGCTTACTCAGTTTGCTTTGGTTGGGGATCTCACGTAAAGAACACAGAGGGAATAAAGAGGCCCAGAGAGCTCAGAAAGAACTGTAGCATTGCAGGGATTTGAACACAAGCCCACAATCCCCAGCCTGGGGTTGTACCACGTGGCAGCTGGGGCTTGGCTTGAGCTCTTACTCTCCCAGTGGGATCTGCTCCTCTGGCTTACTCAGTTTGCTTTGGTGGGGATCTCACGTAAAGAACACAGAGGGAATAAAGAGGCCCAGAGAGCTCAGAAAGAACTGGAGACCCCCAGGTCCCAACCTCTCTCCGACTTTGGGGCTTAGCTGTACCAGTACATCCCTACCATGCACCTCTCCAATCCCACCAGCCGTATCCCCGCGCACTGGACCCAGGCAAACACCCCAGGTAGGTCTCCCTGCTCCTTACCACTTAGAAGGCGTCAGCAACGTGGGAGGGTCTGACTTGGCAATCTTGAGCAGGACCCGCATGGGGTTGAGTTCGTGGTGTGCGCACTGGACCCAGGCAAACACCCCAGGTAGGTCTCCCTGCTCCTTACCACTTAGAAGGCGTCAGCAGCGTGGGAGGGTCTGACTTGGCAATCTTGAGCAGGACCCGCATGGGGTTGAGTTCGTGGTGTGGGGGTTCGATCTGGGCCATCTCAATCAGAGTGATGCCCAGGGACCAGATGTCAGCTTTGTAGTCATACGGGGTGTCCTTCATGGTCTCACACATGACCACCTCAGGGGCCATCCTGAACCAACCAAGGGACAATAGAGGGCTAAGGATCTGGCCTCCACAGGCTCTGCTTGGAGATCCAGGGTCAAGGGCCACCACAAGCCAATGTCAGGGGGTGGCAGCACTCCCAAATCACGATCTGCATTACTTTACGTCCCACTGTCTTCCTTAGGACGGTCTTCACACAGAAAAACGCCATTACGGCAGCTTCCCCTGCCATGTCCTGATGCAGTTCCCAATTCCTACCACAAGGTGGAAGCAACAATCCAGAACAGAGAGTCCTGGGGAAGGGTGGGTGGGCAAAGCAAAAACTGGGGGTGGGAGGGGGGATGGAGAGCATGCAACAGCATAGAGAGAAGGGATGGGAGAGAAAAGGAGAAAGGGGGAAAAAGGAGAGAGAGAAAGAGAAAGTGTTAACAGTAATAAGCAAGCAAGCAAGGAGCCTAAACTCCACAGTAGCTAGTAACGCACATGAAAAAGTTGCGAAAACAAGACAAAACAGAAGGTAGTTTGGTGTGAAACTGAATGACAGAGCTTTTGTTTTGTTTTTAAAGTAATAGTTTTGGAAAAGAAGGAAACACAACAGACTAGAAAAGTCCAGGGAGCCTTCACGTGAGGGTAGAAATTGATCTTGTATCTTCACAATGCCCAGCCCCAGCTCAGAGCAGGCACTCAATACATCCCTGCTGAATGAATCAAAAACTGAAACATATTTTTAGGGATTCGGTTTAGTCATTATTAATGGAACACTTTCTATGTGCACCATTTCATTTCTTGCTCACAGTAACCTGACTATGTAGGTGCTGTTGTAGCCCTAATTTATGAATAAGGAAACTGAGGCAGAAGGAGACTCAGCAACTTGCCCAAGATCACGTCACTAGTAAGATCCTGAGGCTGAGCTCATACCAGCAGCCTGACTCAGGAGCCATTGCCTTCTGGCCTCTCTCACTCTGGACTACCCAGAGGTCACTTTGGGGAGTTTTGAGTTTAACATGCAATCCACCATTCCATTTCCAGAAGCTACACAACTCACCAGTAAGGCGTTCCTATGAAGGAATCTCGTTTCTGCAGAGTTTTCAGATTCTTGGCAGACACACCAAAGTCAGCTGCAAGACAAAATCTCAGATAGAGTATTTAACGGACATTCCTCCACCCACAGCACTGGGATGTGGACTCAGGGATACACATTCCAAATTGACTAACAGATGCCATTTTCTATCTAGCAAATTAGAGATCATTAAAAATATAATATCTGCTGCTGTAAGGAGATACTGACATGGGCACTCTCCTCACCTGAGAATGGGAGAGCCTTTAGGAAAGCAATTTGGCAATAAATAGCAAGAACCTTTAAAATACCCATACTCTTTTGATTCAGTGACTCCAAATCAGGAATCTACTCAATGAAATAACCCTAAATACAAAAAAACATTATGCATAACAATGTTCATCAACACGCCAATATCCTATAACAAATGTAAAATGACCATAATTGCTTAGTTATCATTTAAAACTTTTTATACACAATATATATCCTGTCTTTTCCAAAAAGGATTTAGGATGGTGTATTAACACACACACACACACACACACAGAGCAAGATAAAGTAAGAAATTAAGAGAGGTACGAAAGATAAGGTAAAGGGTAAATAACTGAACAGTTTAGGAAAAGTATGATACAATCCCACATGATAAAATACTCTGTAGTCACAAAAAGTAGTTTTGAAGTATTTTTAAACAAAAATATTTAATTTATATATAAGGTTAAGTGAGGAAAGGAGGGGATGCACACTTAAATATAGTGTATGGTCAGAATTACACCCCCCGAAAAAGGGCAAAAATGTACATTAAACTGACTTGGAGGAAATACGCCAAACTGCTTAAATGGTTGTCTGTGGGTGGTGAGACTAGATGTGGTTTCTTCCACTTTTCTGATTTCTGTAACTTTGCTGTGATAAACATATATTACTCTCAGGACTCACAAAAAATAAATACATAAAATTTATCTTTAAACACACCCCCAACATCAGCCTTCCTTCACACACCTCCTACTAAGAGAAGAATCCAGTGTGACAAATAGAAATCTTCTCCAGTTGCTCCTGTCTTCGGGGACAAAGTTTCATTTTGATTAAAAAATAGATTCAGGAGGAAACAACACCTTGAGATAACTGGGGATGTTCAACTGGAAGCTAACAAACAGCGCCTCGTCCTAAGAAACTGCAAGGTCATTACAACTGTCAGCCACTCTGGGAGCCTGTGCCACTAGAAATGAGCTGGTTCTGAACCACATCAGGCCAGCAATCGCTGTATTCTGGAGCTTCAATCAGACTCGGTTCCAAACCAGGAGGGAGCAAAATGCGAGGAGCCTGGGCCTGAATATGAGAGAAGCTGGGGTCAGCCTTGTCTATTTCACTGGTTCATTCATCTGTTCATTCAGGCACTCACCGAGCACCACTGGATACTAGCCGGGAGCGGAGAACACAATGGAACCAAAGGCAAACTAAGTCCTTGCTCTCAGGAAGCCCAAAGTTTAGTGGGGGAAGCAGAGAGTAATCACACAATCACAAACAAATGTCCACTCATAACCATGTAAAGTGATGGAAAGATAGGAGTGCGGGGCTATGAGAGTGGACGGACGGTAGGGGCTGCAGCCTGGAGAGTGCAGTTATAGAACGAGGGAGGTGGAAAGTGCTGGCTGGTGGGGCTTGGAGGAAGCACAGTTTTATTCACCAAATATAAACTGAACATCTATTATGTGCCAGACCGTTCCCACTACAGAGATGAGCTTGCCCAAGTCCTTCGCCTCATGCAGCTTGCAATTCTAGAGGTGGACACAGGCACTCAACAAACACCGCGGAATTCCTGGTAGTGAGAAGGTCTACACAGGGCAGACGAGGCAGGGCGAAGGTACACAGTGCCAGGGCTGGTGGCTGGCTATTTCAGACACGAGGTCAAGATCTGGGAGAAGATATTTCCAGGCAGAGGAAACTGCACGTACAGAAGCCCCAAGGTGGGAAGAAGTTGGCTGGAGGGACGAGGAGGGACAGGACAGCGTGGCCAAAAGGGGGATAGGGGGGCGGGTAGCACACATAAGGAAAGAGATATTCAGGGGTCAGGACAGTTACAAAACTTCTGACCCTCCGTTTCCGCCTATGTGACATGGGGATGATGATACTGTTGAACTATTTTGTAGGGTTGTCCTGAGGATTAAACGACACACTTAAAGTGCTCAGCTCCAAGTCTGGCTCATGGGAAATGCTCTGTAAATGGGATGACGGTGATTATTCCATGGGACACATGAGCTAGCCCAGCCTGGAGATTTCTAGGCTGGGGCAAGGCTGAGGCTGAATTGAGACTCCACCCCACTCAAGGCATGGTCAGGAAAACTGGTCTCTGAGCCCAGTTAGTGCTAACCAGACAACAGTTGTTCTATCAGGGGACAGTCTGGTCAATCAGAGGGAACAGGGGTTCTGTCACCTCCTGGGGTGGAACCAGTAGCTGCTGCAGGTGAGGTGGAAACCCAGGTGAGAACCTGGCTCTGCTGCTGACTGGCTTCAGGGCTGGGCTCACCTTCCTACTCTGTCAGCCTGGACCCCACGCAGGCCTGGCTCCCCGATAACAATGGCTAGCACGTCATCCCATCCCAGATCTTTTAGGAATAGTAACTGCCTCTCAGACCCAGGGTGAGGCTTTCAGAAGCTGCTACTCCCCACCATGGGCCCTGCTGACCCCTTCCTGAGAGGGAAGAGGAAAAACAGAAACCACCAACTTTCACAATGACACCAGTTGGTCCCCAGAGCCCTCCCCGAAGCAAGCACCACCCAGCATTCTGGATAGCTGCTACTTCCCCTTCCACCCTACCAGATGGGGCCCCGCCAGGAGCGTGGGGCAGCCCCTCCTTGCAGCCCAGGGACCTTGGGCTTTCTGTGGACATGGAACAGGGGTAGCCCCAAGCCTGTTTGCTCACTGGATGGAGTTTATGAGGGTGTCCCCTGATTGGTGAGTGGCTGCCTTTGGACAATTCAGAGGGGACTTTCACCATGCAGTCTCTTCTGATGAAAATAGCACCCCTCCTATATTAAAAAGAATCAGAGTCAGGGCAGCAGGGATAAAGAGAATCTCTCTTTATAGACTACAATTTCCATAAGGAAAGAGACAATTTCTGCTTTGTCCAAGTTGTATCCCTGGCACTGCACCTGGAGCATGAAGCATTCCACAGGTTTACTGAATGAACACACTCATGAGTGAATGAGCAGACTCTGCTAGAATGCCTTTACTCATGTATGTTTTCAGAAAATAAAAAAAAACCCTGTGTTTTAAAAATATTTCTGGAAATAGATCTCTAAAAAGCAGATTTATAATATGTATGAATGCTTGTAGAAGCATTACCTGAAAGAATGAAAAATGGAAAACAACCTAAATTGTAGCCGGAGCTTGGCTGGCAAATGGTTAAAGTATGATTTACCCCAGATATGAATAACACACGGCCTCCTTAGAAAGCATGAGGTTGCATTTGTGTTTCCTAACTTGGACGTTTCTCTAGAACACATGCTGCTAACTAACATGTTATAGAATGTATAGTATGATTCCAGCTGTATTTTAAAAGAACGATATATGCACATTGTGCGTACATGTCTGTGCACACACACACAGAGAAGGGTCCAGAAGGCTGCACGCCAAATTTAATAGTGATCACCTCCCTGGCAGTGGGATTTGGGTGGGGATAGTGCACAGAGGCCTTACATTTTTCACTTTATATACTTTTATTCTTTAAAATGTTTTTGATAGAGTGCATCACATTTATGGTTTAAAAAATAGAACTGCATAGAGCAAAGTTCTTTTGGTTTTGTGGGGTTTTGTTTTTTCTCTCTTAAGAAATCAAGTGGCAGCCAGGATGTGGTGAAAGAGAACTTCACACTCTGCCGGGGGGAGTACAGACTGGTGCAAGTCGTGTGGATGGCACGCCGGCCACGGGTATAGACAAAAATGGGGCACATACCCGATATTGCTGCTTCTGAGACTTCCTCTTCAAGGTATGATGACAGAAAGAGACCCCAAGATCCAGGAACAAGCACACTCATCACTGTATTATTAATATGACAAAGCTCTTGAGATATCCAACTTAGGGCTTTCACAGGTGAATTATGTTTTGTATGTTTGATGGAATACAAGAAAAACATTAAAATAATGTTTCTGAGGAATTAAGGATATGGAGGAAACATGCTGATATTATTCAATTTTAAAAAGCAGTATAGAAAACTGTGATCCCAATTTTTTTATTTTATTTTACTTATTTATTTTTTTTTTTGTCTTTTTGTCTTTTTCCGTGTCCGGCAACGGATCGCAACCCTCAGTGTTGCCCCCGTACTGGACCGGGGACCGGCAACGGGATCGCAACCCTCGGCGCTGCTCCCGCGCCTCGCCCAGCCAGTGAGCGGGAACCGGTCTCCACATGGGATCCGAACCCTCGGGCGGGAGCGCCGCCGCGCCTCCCAAGCGGCGCACTATCCAGTGCGCCACCGGGCCGGCCCCCAATTTTTTTATTTTTTAGGCTTTTTTTTTTTTTTTTAAGTGGCTGGCCAGTATGGGAATTCAAACCCTTGACCTGGGTTTTATCAGCACCACGCTCTAATCAAGTGAGCAAACCAGCCAGCCTCCAATTCTTTCAAAAGTAGGTGTTTAGGGCCGGCCCGGTGGCGCACTCGGTAGAGGGCGGCACTTGGGAGTGCGGCAGCGCTCCCGCCGAGGGTTTGGATCCCATATAGAGACCGGTCCGCTCACTGGCTGAGCGCGGTGCGGGCGCGACACCGAGGGTTGCGATCCCGTTGCCGGTCACGAAAAAAAAAAAGACAAAAAAGGAAAAAAATATAAATAAAAAAAAATAAAAGTAGGTGTTTATCTTAATAATATTTACAGAGAATTTATCAGGTGCACGGCACTGTGCAAAGGAGCTTATGCATATCATCTGCATATCGATTCCTACGCATATCATTCACATCTATGACCTTTTAGAGAAGGGAAAATTATTATCCCCATTTTACAGATGAGGAAACTGAAGTTGAGAGATTAAGCAAATTGCAGGAGGTTACCCAGGTGCGCTCTTTCCCACT